GAACTCACGTATCAGGAATTCTGAATTATAGAGGTCGTGACTTGTAATGATGCAGAGAAATTCAGAGATGTGAACTTGGGCACCAGAAATTTGGTCTGGTGACTTGGGTCAGGATGGGGAAGTTTCCTTTTCCTGTGTGTGTTTTCAAAGGTAAAACAAATCTGGGGAAAATGTAAAATCTGAGCAGTGTGCACACTGTTTTTTGTTATCTGCATGGCGAGATTATAAACAGCATTCGTTAGGAACTGTTTCTGCAGAAACCTCACCATCTAAAGTTCAGGCTGATGTCCAAAGCTTGCCATCTCCTCCTGAGATGTGCCCACGGAAGCCCCACTTTTCCTGCCTTTCCAAGTTGGATTCCATTCCGGATGAGAACTCAGACTCCAGGGACAGAGAGAGGGTTTGTAATGTTAGCTAACGATGTTCTGATAAAGCTCACCCAGAATTCCCGTACCTCACTCTGACCAAAGCTTTCCAAAGTCCTGCCCGATGAGCTTTTGCTTCACATTGAAAACTGGAAAAAAAAAAGCCTGTGCTTTTCACTTAGGAGGTTTCATTCTTTTCCACATATTGTAACAAGCAAACTTGAGAAGGACTCAAAGCTAAGCAATCAGAAGAAAAGAAAAGAGCTGAAATAACCCCCAGTGGGAATCACTGTTTTCTCACAGGGATGAGAGCTATTGTCAGCATGTTGGAGCCACTTTCTTACTGAACTCCAAAACATGCTCCCAGGACACAGACGCAGTGACTCAAACTGTATTGGTGCTTCATGGGTACCTGGGGGTTCTCTGATTTCTGCAGCTGCAAAATGCCTATTAGATTTTCAAATTTTGTGTCTTCATTTTGACCATTATCTAAAAACAAATATAAGCATATTCTGGATTATCTGGATGACCAGGTTGGCACTGGTCATGAACTTGGGACATGGGTTTGTGGTTGTGTGACAATAACATTGGCACTGAATAGCTCTACAGTGACTGTCAAAGGTGAGAGAGAAGAAGAGAATGGAGGTTGTGATATAAATGTGTTTGCCCTTCAGGAAAGCCGGTGGAATATAGATTCCCAGAAAGTGGGGTTTCTATCTACTTTGTTCACTCTTGTTAACCAGGCCTCAGGCAGGTAGTACGTGCTCAGTAAATAGGTGCTGAATGAATGAATGGTAAATAAATACTTTAAAAATACCTGGAGTACAGAAAAGCGGTGGCAGAGTCAGGGTATCACCAGGCACTGAAGAACTTCTGCTAGAAGTTGGTGCCGTCACCATACCCGGAGAAGCAGCAATGTCGTTTCAGGAAGCAACGGCTGCCACAGGTTGAATGAATGTTGTTAAGTTGTATTGACTTTGTAGATTTGTTTGTATTGACTTGTAAATTTATTTTTATTTTATAGTCGTCACAGGCCTTTGAGCAAAAGCCATTTTATGTTTATACATATTTGAGAAACATGTAATAAAAAATAAATTAGGTCAACCCTATGGATCTGTGAGGAATGCTTTTTTTTCATCTGTTACTTTTCTTAAGAAACAGTGGATAAACATTTTCCACAATATATGCCCAATCCTGTGGCAAATTGGGACATGGCCTCCCTAGCCAAGAAAGTTAACCATTGCTCCAGGAAGCAGAACTGAACTCTGTCCACTGATAAAGTTGCTGCCTATGAAATGTAGGTTGTTTCTCTCTCAGTTACAACTGGCAGGGCTAAAGCTTTAAGGAGGACGCTGACTTTAGGTGAACCGTAGATTTTAATCGGCAGAGAGAGGATCTTGTTCTCAGAGCTCCAGAGGGCTGGGCAGTGGGAAGATTTGCTCGGCTCACTGTCAGACAGAGTTTTCTGCCCTAGAACAAGCTGTCTCTAGACTTGATCAAGCAGATATGAGATGCTTACCTGAACAGGTGGGTGGGCATCCAATAGTAGAGTGCATTGGATGATATATCGATCCTGGAGCAATATGAACCCCCTGACCATTTGTTAAGGACGAGATAACTGGCTAGGCCTGGCAGTCTCCCATGTTCTGCAGCCATCATCAGCATCAATAATCCCTGCCGGCTTTCTTAGTTTCTCAACGTGGCTCTTTGTGCTTGGGCAGTGCTGGGATTTCACGGCAACAGGCAACAGATGAAGTCAAGCTGGGAGCTATGCTGCAAGATCCAGCCATCAGCTGCAGCCTCTTTGGGGAAAGAACACGGAATCTGCAAATAGGCCAAGACCACCGTTTATGACAATGGGCATACACCCCATTGCATGACTGCGCAGGCTCTGGGAGTGGAGAGGCCCAATATGTTGTGTCTATTTTCTTCTCTTAAATATAAGCTTTAAAGGCTAAAGATCATCACATTCATAGTGCATTTGCTTAATGTATGTTACCTCCTTCTCCCTTCCCTTCGAAAAAGTCTTAAAAAGTAAACCAAATACATATGTGCCCAAATATATTTGTTGAGCTGAACTGCAGTGGGCCTGTAGAGTTGGGGGCCCACCAGCGCTCCCCACACTCAGGTCTGGGAAACTCGCCTGCTACGTGGGAAAGCAGAGTGGCTACGAGGCAGGGATTTGTGACTAAGGCAGGAGAAGGGGCAGCTGCTTAGGAGCCAGCCCAGCTGCTGCTCCGGAGCTCAGATCAAACAAGGGGCTGGAATGCTGGCAGGGAACAGGGATCAGAATCCGAGTCGGCCACCTGGCAGTTCCCAGACGTCACAGGCCACCTGTTCCCTGAGCAGGCTCCAGGCCCCTTCTAAGCCTGTCCCTGCCTTGGCTAGCTGTCGCTCAGCCTTCCTCAGAGCAGCACTCAGGCGAAGTGGGAGGAGGAGAAACAGCACGCAGGTTGCAGGCCAGGGACGACTCCCGCACTGACAGCCCTGGGGGAGTCTCTAGCTCTGCCGGCCCGGCTTCTGCCCCTTGTGAAACGGGGATACTTTTCAAGAATGGCAAAAAACATACCAGATGAAAAGAAATGGCTTCAGAAACCCAAGTAAAAAGGCTTGGAGTGGCTGAAGATGGTGGCTTCAGGCCAAATTGTGCTTTCCCAGCCTGTTCTGTTTTTTCTCTTCTCTAGCCACCAGAACAAGTACAAAGAACACACTGGAGAAACAGCACTTACAGATTCAGAGGCAGTGGCTTGGACATGTATCAGGAATACCATCTGTGATTTTTTTTTTGCTGTATAAATGGAGGGGGGAAATAGAGAAAAGAGAAAGAATGGGCCTCAGATGGGAATGGAGAGTGCCGGGGTGAGGGGCCTGAGTGGACAGAGGGAGCCGCAGCGGCGAAGGTTGTCAGGACTCAGCTGCGTCCGCCGCATCCATGTACCAGTGAGAGTGAGGGGCGCAGACCCATCTGTCTCCTCTCCAACTATGGATGGCGCTGACGCCCAGCGTCCGAGGGAGACTTTCCTGGAGCCCAGGCTTGCAGCTTGCTGCCTACAGCCCGCGCAGAGATGCGGGGCCCTGGAACTCCCAATTCCCCAAAGGACAGGGAACCCCAGGCTCCACCAGGGCTCTGTTTCTCTTCTCTCATCTCCTCTGTGGCTTCATTTATTCCTCTTTTCCCCTTTGGCCCCTGGCCTGCCACCCCACTGCTCTATGGCCCACAGGACCCTGCGGAGCAGAGGCTGCTGCCTGGGGAAGCCGACCTCAGGCCTTGGCCAGTCTCCCCAGGCAGCCTTTGGAAGGAAGCCCAAGTGAGCGCTGGCAGCCACTGCCGATAGGAAGGGACAGCTCAGGCCCCCTGGTGCTGAACCAGGGCAGGAGCCAAGACTTGGAGCACACGTCGTGGTGCCGGGAGGCCAGAAGCCCCCCACGTCCCTGAACCAGCTCCCCCACTGCTCCCCCAAACAAGGAAACCACCCAAATACCCTGTCCTGCTGCTGGGTGACACTGAGGGATAGGAGGGCTTCTCTTGTGAGTTCCAGGACATTTGCTGGTGTTGTAGTTTAGGGGTGCAGCCTTGGAGGACAAGGGAGCCCAAACTGCCGTGAGCATGCTGACTGCTTCAGGTGTGGGCTCCCGTTCTGTCAGCATAGACGTGAGTTGGACCTTGTGGGAGAACCGAGCAGGTCTTTTGGCTTCTTTGGTCTGAGGTGGTTTCGGCCCATTTCCTGTAGGAAGAAGGATCCCACAGGGGCCCATTGAGAACCTCCCAGGAACTGGGGCTCAAAGCTAATGGTCAATGCTTTCTTTGAACTTTGGCTTTAAGACTCAGCCAGGAGGGAGACCAGCTCGGTTAGGACAGAACTCCTTCCCAAGCACCACCTTGTGATATTATCTCAACGTCTCTCTGGATCCCACTTGGGAGCTTGCTGACCTTTAGCTCTTTTCACTTCACAGTTACCCTGAGATTCCGATATTGAAATATGAGGAACTCATTTCCAAACAACAGCATTTTCCATCAGCGTGCTTGTAGACCCTAATTCTCATAGACCCCAAAAGAAAAATGGCAACCATGACTATCTGTGTGTTGTGTGAACCAAACAAGATGGGCCTTCGTGGCTGCCTCAAAGGAAAGAGGCACCGGCTGTCGTAGCCCAAGGGACCCCCCCGTGTTTTCCATATGCACTTCCATGGCAGAGGCCTGGCGTCTTTTTGGATTTCACTTTTCCATCAACAGAAGGGGCAGAAGATGCTTCCACCACAGGCTCCCTGGTCTCCGATGTGGGAGTCACTGCCTGTCAGCAGGAGGGGTGGATGGGGATCGCTCAGCCAGGTCACCCCACCCTCCTCTTCCTTACAGGTATCATCGCCAGCCTGACCCTCCTAATCTGGGGTCAGTAGGGGGTTAGTAATCCGGTGCCAAATGCCAAGTTCTAACCTGTTTTGGGGTGGGGCAGGGGTAGGGAGGAGGCGGGGGGGAGGCAAGTGCAAGGGCAGGCTGGCTTTGTCCCAGCTCCAAGCTATGAGGGCTTTTGCTGTTAATAAGACCAAACCCCCAAACCAAAGGAGCCCTTTGCCTCACCCCAGGAACTCCCGCAGCCCAGGGTTCAGGAGAAATCAAGAAGCAAACAAGGCTGCTTTGGGAAGTGCGCACATGTATTTATTTCACAAGGTGGGAGATGGGGCTGTGGTGGTCACCAACAAGATGCCACCCAATGAGATGGTGAGCCCCAAACTGGGCAACTACAGGGTTTGATTCTGGGCAGGGATTGGCCTGTGGGGACAGCATGGAGGGGGGGGAGAAAGATGAGAGATGGCAGAAGGGACAGCCTTCCATTTTGGGGACCACATGGGACAAGGCCGAGCCACAATCTCCTGGCCAGTGAAGCCTGGCCACTGCATCCCCGCCGCTCACCACCCAGGCTTCTCGGCAGCCTCGTCCTGATCCAGGTGAGCTGTGAAGCGGCAAGCCCAGGGCCACACTATTATGTCTGCTCTACCACACACCCAGGCACACATGCCACATGGGGTCACACATGCACGCACGCACATGCAGCTGCACACACCCTAGCACACACACCACACGGGCACACACACTCATATGCATGCACACAAGTCCATATATTACTCTGATTCATAAGTGCACCCTAACCAGAGGGCAATCGAAAAAAATTATTACTCTTCAGAGAGGAATCGACTGCCTTCTCCCCTGTCAGCCAGCAAGTATGGGCTGAAATGAGATGAGCACAGAGCATCCTCAAGGGTCCTGGCCCCTCTGCTGTGCTGGCTCCAGTCCTTAAGCTCCACATGGAGGCCCCTTGCTGTTTCCCCTGCAGCAGCCTCTGTGAGGCAGGGCTCCGACCATCCTGTGTGCTCAGGCGACCATGGAAGTGTCAGCTCCTTCCAGGTCATTTCAGGGAGGGTCCAGAAAGGTCCAGAGCTGTAACCCCCAGTCACCTGATGAAAAGATTTGGGGTGGAGGCTGCCTTGAGTTGTGAATGGACACCTGGGCAGAAGCAACCTCAGGGGAAACTGAGTCTCAGGGCCTTGCTGCCTCCTCTGAAGAGGGGGAGCTAGGATGTGATTGAGCCTCCCCCCACCAAACACACACACATTGTTGAGGGCTGGGGTGGAACTCAGAAGCTGCTGTAGAGATGACAGAGGAGAGGCCCCGGCCAGTCCCGGTCCTGACGGTAGTGGGACAACGACAAGCAGATGTGAATGTTTTACTCCTTGGTACCAGGTCCACATCCGGGCTGCAGATGACATGGCTCCTGAGTTCCCAGAGAAGGGTTGGGGATGCTTTTCCAGGGTGCACAAGCCTCATGGCAGCTGAGTGCCTGAGGTGGACACAAAGTCTCCATCTGGGGCCCCCGTGCTGGCCTGCAGAGGCCTCAGAGGCCCACGAACACCTGCTGGCTCCCGGCTGTCTCTCCACCAACGTGGCTGGTCCAGAGGACAGACAGACCCTGTCCCGGGGGCCAGGCTCTGGGGTCCCCAGCTCCCCCGCAACTACTTGATGGAGTTCTTAATCATCCACCTCTGTCCCGTGCAGCTGCGGAGGATGAGGTCAATGCCAGCCAGGCCACGGTTCTCCACCTCCAGGCAGCGCCCCGTACCTTTATTCATGATGGCTCCATTCTGAGAGGAGATGGAAAGGGGGGGCGAAGCGGGGGGGGGAGAGAGAGAGAGAGAGAGAGGCTTAACCGACATAGTTAACCAACATAGTACCCAGGACATGGCCTCTCACGGGGGACAATCCCACCAAAATTCTTTGCACAGGGGGAGGGAGAGGTCACTGGGACCTCCCCTGGAAACTCTAAAGTCAGAAAATAAATAAGTTTTTCTAAGTTTGAGTGGCTGAACCAGGCGATGAACCATGGTGGGGGGTGGTGTCATAATGGGGAATTTCCAGGGATACTTGAAGGCTGACTTTCTTAATCCTACTGCCTCCAGGTACTTAGCAGATTTCAGGGAAATCACCCCCACACACCCCTCCCAAGATTTATCAGAACCAACCCAGCTTAGCGCTGCTATAGGGATTGAAAGCCTGTCTCCCACAGAAATCACCCCACCAATTCCCCTCAAATATGCTTTGGGTCCACGCACCTGGCCCAGGGCTGGGAGACCTTTGGTGCACTTTGCCAGGTAACCTAGGGGAAGCCGGAATGCCCTGTGGCCAGCAGTTCCCTCACCTGCTCTGGGGTGCTGGCCTGTCCATGGAGCACTCACCTGGATGAAGTTCCAGCGCTTGTACAGGCTGCTTTTGACCTTGTCACAGTCAAGTAGCTGGGGCAACCGACTCTTGGAGTTGTCCACCAGGCAACGGGTGTCAGGGAGCAGTGTCGTGGTCCCCAGGGCTCCCAAGTGCAGAAAGCCTTCCTTGGTGTATCGGGCGAGCTGGGAAAAGCAGAGTGGCAGGTAGGGGTGAGGCCATGAAGGGAAACAGGGCTCGGGTCTGCCGGTCTCACCCCTGCCTCTATCATTGCTGCAGTCCTGGCCACCATCTCAGGCCTGTCACACCCCCACCCCCACCCCTAGCTCACAAGTGAGCCCTGCCCAGGAAGCTCTCTGGCTTGCTAAGCCTGGATACCGATTCCCTGGGGCCACTCTGAGTTTTCCTAAGCACGTCCTTGTCTGTGTGTCAGGAATCTGGCCTTCTGTCCAGCGAGGGCAAGCAGGGATAAGTGACAGAGCAGGGCAGCTGACTTCTAAAGCTCAGCTCTATTTCCAGCTGACTGGGCCACCTTGAAGAATTCACTTAACCTCTCTGAGGCTCTATTTCCTCCTCGTTTGCAAACTGGGAGTAACTAACGCTACCCTGCTGCAAGGGACCCAGAGAGGCAGTGCACAAAAGGAGAAACAGATATTAAAAAGCATTCAGCCTCATAGGTGTTAAAATAAATGAACTAAAACAGCAATGAGATATCACATTTTAAAAAAGAACTTATTCTTTTGTAAAGGTTAGCATAAGATGGGCTGGAGGGAGGGTAAATTACTATAGACTTACAAAAAGGGGATTTCAAAATATATACTTTGTGCTTTTAAAATGTTCCTCTCCTTTGATTCAATAAATCCACTTTTAGAAATCTATCCCAATGAAATAATCATAACTGTGAACAAGTTTATGTATAGAGTATTTATTACAACGTTTTTTTATAATGATGGAAAAGCGGAAACATCCTAAACGTGAAGCACAGTCCTGGTTCTTGCTTTCTGTTCCATGTACTGCCCCTAGGAGATGGTGGTAGATTCCAACAATGGCCACATCCTTCATTCTCTCTTCTATACACCAGGGGTCATGGGACTTTAAAGCAATTTCCATCAAGTGGAGTGTAGTTCCCCATTCCTTGAATGCTGGTAACTTGCTTTGGCCAACAGAATGCAGCAGCAATGAGGATGTGCCTGTTCCTGAACTAGACCTTGCATAATTCCACCTCTTGCAACCCTGCTGCTCCCATGGCAGTCAGCTCAGGATGGACTGCTAGAGGATGAGAGACACGTGGGCTCAGCCAACAGCCAGTCAACCACCAGACAAGTGGATGAGGTCATCTGAAGTCGGGTAGCACTCAGCCAACCTGTGAGCTGATAAGATTCCTGAATGAATCCAGCCCAAATCAGCCGAGACTGGTCCATATCACAGAACCATCCTGCCAGTCTATACATTCATGAACAATAATACGTGCATATTGTTTTATGACACTAAGTTTTGGGGTAGTTGTCATGCAGCAATAGCTAATGATACAGATGTGGTGCTGCCTGCCAACTCTTGCCCCAGCAGGGCTCCTGCCACCTCAGTGTTCCCCTCTCCTGCCTGACTGTGTTGTTTAAAACTCTGCATTCCAACTTTTCAACAAATGCATGCACCTGTCGTTCACGCTCCTTTAGAGGCAGGGGCTGTGTCTAATTCATTTCATTCCTTCTAGGAGAGAACCCACAGGCCAAGTGCTCAAAGCATGTTTGTGGATGAGCACATTGTAAATGTGGTAAACGTCAGCATTGAAAAAAATGCAGTGCCACTGTGTGATGGACCTGGAGGAGATTGTGCAGAGTGGGGTGTGTCACACTGAGAGAGACAGATGCCATATGATCTCACTTATATGTCGAATCTAAAAAGCAGAATAAACAAACAAAACAGAAACAGACCCAGAGATACAGAAAACAAATCGATGGTTACTAGATGAGAGGGGGCTGGGGCGATGGGTGAGAAAGGTGAAGGGATTAGGAAATACAAACTGGTAGTTACAAAATAGTCATGGGGATGTGAAATACAGCATAGAGAATATGGTCAATAATATTGTAATAACTATGTATAGTGTCAGGTGGGTACCAGGCTTATTGGGGGGATTACTTCATAAATTATATAAATACCTAACCACTATACTGTATACCTGAAACTAATAAAAAATAATATTGAATGTAAACTGTAATTGAAAAAAAAATAGTCACAGGGATATAAAGTACAGCAAAGGGAATATAGTCAATGGTATTGTAATAGCTATATACAATGTCAGATGGGTAGTAGACTTGTTGGGGTTATCACTTTGTGAGGTGTGTAAATGTCTGATCACTATGTTGTTCTGTGTGTAAATGTCTGATCACTCTGTTGTTCTTTACTCCCGAAACTAATGAAAAAGAAAAGCATTAAGGAAACCAAAAATTCATTCTTTGAAAAAAAAAAACTAATGAAATATAGAATAATCAGGTTTTTTCTATGACAAAACTAAAAAAATAATTGTGAGGGGGGGAAAGTATGGAAATGTTTAGATTGTATAACACTTATGTACATTCTAAATTCATAAAACAATAGTATATATTGTCGAAATAAAAAAATTAAAAAATGCAGCCCCATCTATTTATTTAAACCCTACAGGCGTGTTTTGCAGAGTCCTCTGTGAGCAGCTGGGGACAGGCTTCTGGGACCTGAAGAAGGGGCTGGCTTCCCCCTGAGAAGTTTCCAGTGTGGGCTGGTGAGGCCAGTGAGACAGGCAAGCACAGCCTTCACGTTTGTTCTCACAGTTCTGAGAGGTGGCTGGGGGAGGAGTGGTGATCATTAATATACAACTGGTTCCTAATAAATCAACAAAATAGAATTACCAGCTGGCAAGTATTGAAGACATACTCCGCATCATTTCTAAGCATCGTACGGAGAATAAACAGTGGAATTTTCATAACAACCCCATGAGATAGATGCTGTTACTCGCCCCATTATAAATATGAGGAAACCGAGGCATGAAGATATGTGGTCAGCTGGCTGGATCCTGGTTTCTCCTCTTGGGGCCCTAGAGACTCGGTGGTTGGAGGCCCTGGCCCAGCAGCTGAGCAGCCGAGGGGCCTCCTCCTGGGAGCCTGATCAGGAAAGGAGTAAGAAGGAGCTCTGCTTAGGTACACAAGCGCCTCTTCTCCAAGGGTTAAGGAGCTCTCATCTACTGGTGGAAGCTACTCAGAAACCCTCTGCTCTATTCCCAAAGGGGAGCCCGCCTGGTCCCCCCTGAAACAAGAGACAGGAGTTTATTAAGTGCCCTTGAGAAAGATGCAGTTAATATGTGCTTTAAACCCAAATTAGTTCCAAATCAGAGTAACTATTAGAGGCAAAATGGTAAGAAAATCAGAAACCCTCCCTGACCCCTTCCTAAACAATGTCTCTGAATATATTTATATTCACCGAATGCAAAGTGATGAATGACAGCAAGCTCCTTTATGTTCAGGGGAAAGATATACACAGCTGCTTATTGAAATTATGAATCAATCTATTAACCAGCAGGCAAATGAGCAGCGCTAAGAACATTAATTAACTGAACAGATCTGTGACCCAGATGTTTCAAGAGTGAAGCTAAATGCCACTGGGAGTTAGAGTCTCTACTGTGTGAGGTCTGTGAGGGCATGAAAACAATGAGACTCAGGCTGCCAGGACCTGCAAAGGCCACACACCAGCCCCAAGCCATGCAGGCATCGGGGTGGGCAGGGCAGCTGAGGACAGCCTGCAGGATTTCTGCTCTGGGGAAGGTCATTTCTCACACCACAAATATGAGGCCACGTGTACAGGTGCTGCTGGCCGGGTCAAGGGGTCAGGGTCAGGGCAAGGGGGCTGTCGTCTGAAAGGAACGTGAAGATTGTCAGGCCACCAGACCTCACTTGCTTCTTCCCAATGAGGCAGCAGGGGAGCATGAGCCCTGGGACCTGCCATCAACCAGATGCTCCTGGATTAGGAGTCTGCCTAGCTCACCGCCCAACACTTCCCACCCCCATGCTCCCTCCTTAAGGACCTCTGCTCCCTGTCTACTGCATGTCAACAGACATTCCTGCCTTCAGGGGTTTGCTCTAGTGGTTTCCCTGCCTGGAAATGCTGTTTATTGGCCTTTCTCTAGAACTTTCTGCATTCAACATTGCTGGACCTCAGTGCAATTCCCTCCATTCCACAGTGTCTTTTCTAACTCTTCCTTGTCACCTCCTGTCAAGTCTTTGGCACAACACAGACCCATATGCTGTCATGTCTCCCTTCAGGGCATGGGAGTGTCCCACCTCCTCTTGACCACACTGTCTCCATTCACCAGGTGATGGATGTTGGGGTCTTTCCACTTTGGGCTATTATGAAACATGCTGCTATAAACAGTTCTATAAGTTTTTGTGTGAACATATGTTTTCAGTTCTCTTAGGTATATATCTAGGAGTAGAATTGCTAATTGTTGAGTCACTTGTATGGTAAGTCTGTGTTTAACTTTTTGAGAAACTGTCAAACTGTTTTCAAAACAGCTGCACCATTTTCCACTCCTACCAACAATGAACCAGACTTCCAATTTCTCTACATCCTGGCCAACTCTTGTTATTGCAGTTTAAAAAAAAGAAAAAAATTAAATTCAAGCCATCCTAGTGGGTGCAAAGTGGTATCTCACTGTGGTCTTGATTTGCAATTCCCTAATAACTAATGATGGTGGACATTATCGGCTTATCTTCTCTGGAGAAATGTCTACTCGGATCTTTTGCCCATTTTTTAATTGGGTTGTCTTTTTATTGTTGAGTTGTAAGAGTTCTTCATATTTCTGGATGCTAGACATATTTGAATATATTATTTATTAATATTTTCTCCCATTCTGTGTTTTTTTGCACTTTCTTGATACTGTCCTTTGAAGTTCAAAAGTTTTAATTTTTTTTTTTAAAGATTTTATTGGGGAATTGGGGGAGGGGAACAGTGCTGGGGAATCAGGGGAAGGGGAACAGACAAGTTGCTGTCCTTTTTTTCTTCAGTCTAGTTGTGGAGGACGTCGCTTCACTGGCCCCTGTTGGTATTATCATTGCTCTCTTCCTGGGTGAGGCAGTCGCTCACCGGCCATTAGAGGCCACTCACGGTGGCTCATGACCGCTCACAAAAGCTCGTGCCTGCTCCCAGTCAGCTCCACTGC